TGCAGAGTTCCTCTATTTCTGACAGTTCTCTGACAGCTCCTTCACATGTACAGCGGTTGAAACATCTGTTTCCGAATAAAAACATCTGTATCCTAAATGGAAACTAATAGATACAATGTTTCAACCGCTGTACATGTGAAGGAACTGTCAGAGAAATGTCAGAAATAGCGGAGCTCTCTGCAGGGACACTTTTGCCGGCTGATCGGGAAAAATCCGATTCGCGCACCCGAAGTAGGCAAATATTCAGATTCGCCGCGAATCAAATTTTTCCTGAAATTCGTATCGAATTCCGGTTCGCCTGGTTCGATTCGCTCATCTCTAGTTATCACTTATGGGTAGAGCCCACCTCTTCAAGATGACGAGTTTTCCGAAACTTTATATCCTCTCCAAACTATCCCTCTCCTGCTCAAGCGTACGGATATTGTCAGTTTGAACAAAGCGATTTCTAGTTTCTTATGGAGGGGGCGCCGACCGCGTATAGCTATATACAAGTTGTTTTCTCCCTAGATGCGAGGGTGGTCTGGGCCTTCCCAACATCAGGCTCTATAACTTATCCTGTATCTTACCGGTATGTATAGATTGGATCTCCCATTCGTCCATGTTTTCCAATTACCAACTCGAATCTGCTATGGTGAGTCCGTTTGACCTGTCGGCTGTTTTACATTCTAATTCCACTTCACTCCCTCCACAACTTAAACACAACCCACTCATATGGGATACACTATTTACATGGAGAGAGGTCAGACGTAGATTAGGAGTTTCTCCCTGGCTGTCCAGTTTTCTCCCTATTCACTACAATCCTTCCTTTTCTGTCTCTCAACATCATGCAGCCTATGACAAGTGGTATAACCAGGGCCTTAGACTTGTAAGTCAACTGTATGACGCAGCATCAGGATCCCCCCTTCCGTTGCAACAAATTCTTAGCTCATTTGATCTTCCTTCCCACTATTTTTTGTATATTTTGCAAGTTAGGAATTATGTGAAATCTATAGTACAAAATAAGTCCACTCAATTTTGCTCGACTATGATAGAAGTCCTTGTAAGGAATCAAAAATACAACATATCCAATATATATGGTCATTTGTCTATGCACTATGCTAAACCGATGGAATCTTATTCTTCCATTAAAACATGGATACAAGACTTTGACAATGCTTTTACTGCGGAGCAAATGCTCACAGGTTTTAATACTACCTGTGCGTTCAATACGAACAAATTTTGGAGGGAGCAGCAATTTAAAATTATGCACCATGCCTATATGCCTTGCTTGTACTCCCGAGCAGACTCAAGGATCTCTACATGTCCGCTCTGTGGATCATATAAACCGTCACTTCACCACAGATTCTGGAATTGCCCATTGATCTGTACATTCTGGACTCAACTTTTGAATTTTGTGCTCTTCATCACTACTCTTCAGTTACCTAGAGACCCGCTGCTTCTTTCTTTTTGGCAACTAGGAAGTTTCAGTGTCTGCTGCCCCACACCCCGCCATCTTGCTTTGTTCAGAGCAGCCAAACCATGGCTATCCATTTGCTTGATGGCGGCGAGAAGGGCTATTTTGAAAAAATGGATCTCCACCTCTCCACCTACCATCTTGGACGTCAAAATGGAACTTAACTTTCTACTTCGATTGGATCGGCTCGGCATGCATATAGCTCCTTCTACAACAGGAGTGGAAAAGTTCAACCGCAAGTGGGGTCAATATGTTTCAAAAGTTCTCCCTACTGTGGAGCCCCAGCACCCCGCTCATAGATTTTTAGCTAGCTTCTAGGGTACTCCTGATGCATGGTGTTGTTATTGTCTAAGGGGACAACTGATTCTTATTTTATGAATGCTGTGTTTCTCTCAGAAATCTCCTTTTCTGTTTATGCTGTGTCCTCCTCTCATTTTGGCGCACTGGCCTATCATTCACTCTCTTATCCTCCTTTCTGACCTATGTGAAGTGGTCTCCTGCTAGCTCACCTTTATACATACTGATGCGCTGCTCCTCATTACATCTTACTATATGGCTACTCGGTCAGTCTATTATTTTTCTGCTTAAATCTCTATATCTTGGCAGGTTCCCATGGTCCTCTGGCCTCAGAATTCAGGCACGTGACTGCTTGTTCTCTATTTCTCCTTCTTCCCTTCTCTGATGGCATACTCTCTTTATGCTGGCCTTTTCAGCTCTGTTGTCTTACTTTCTAACTGGTCTATTTCTACCCTATCTTTTACATTTCCTCATTATTTCCTACTCTTTTGCACAATGACCTCCCTGTTGGTCGTTACGACAAATGGTCAACATTGCTCGCATCGCTTATTCTTGTTGCTCTTATGTTTGATTACATTATGTATACGTGACTCTCTACACTTAGTATATTTACACTTTAAGCCCTTGTATCCTGCTACATTACATGTTCTATACTTTTCTCATAGAAACTCTTTTCTTCCTAAACTTTTCTAATTTCTTCTCTGATTTGTTCAGGGCTTCTGTAACGAGTCTTTGAGTAAAATTGTTATCTTGGAATTTATTCACCTGATTTGACATGTTGCCACGCTATGATTGCTGACATATCTCATCGTTGGTTATTTTGTATGCACAATAAAACCCAATAAAGTCTCTTTTAAAAAAAAAAAGAGAGATATCCCTATTACTGCCTACTACAATATTTTGGGTATACTTTGTTACATGTTATGATGTTATGAATCGGATACATTGTGGAGTGAGAGGAGCCCCCCATTTTATGCAAACGGACTTTATCATTTGATAAGGTACATGAGATATGAGGTGGCGGTCAGTGTGTTCACCAGCACTGGGAAAACATTGTTTGATGTGAGGGGAGCACATATACTGTTTTGAAGATATGACACTATATGTAATTCCTTCGGAGGTACATTTTTCATACGAACGTGGATGGATTTAGGAGCTCAACCATGAAGGAAGGAGGATTTTGTGGTCGCTTTTCTAAATTTTTAAGAGGGTAAGACTAAGGATGACAGAAGGTTAGAAGTGGACACAAGGTGGAGTGGAGTGATTTTTCACTTATTGGCACTAATTTTGTAAGTGCGTTTTTTTTTGTGTTGGATATCATGCGTTTTGGATAATGCACTATATTCCATTTATATTTCTTTGAGGTATTAAGTGGAGGAATAGGAGTTTATCACTTGTGAAAGAAAGAAGAATTATCTAATAGAAGATATGACAAAAAGAGAGCACACACCCACCAAACCCCAAACCAAAAACCCAATCAAGTCACTTAGCAATCCTTCCCCTGAAGTACATAAAAATAGATATAAAATAATACAGCAAACTTGATTTAAATGAATAAACACATCAATAATATCAATACAACCCAAAGTCCAAATAAAGTCCAAAAAACACACTTGCAGGTGATTTCACAATAATTCAGATCCTAGGGCAACTTTGATGATGAACTCCAGAAAATCTTCATATACCTTAAAGATAAAATCTAAACATAGTGTATTATCCTAGGTCTTTATAATAGTGCCACACGTGTCACATGCAAAAACTGAAGTGTCACAGCAATCGTGAAATGTTCAAACTCCAACAATTTAATGAATAGACCCACTGTACACAATATAGTAAAAGTGCATAATTACCCTAAGATAGATAAAACCAGCATAGGATCCATAGTAAGGATGGAATTGCCTCCAAACAGTATATAAATCATCTTCTCCAGACACCTCCCATAGACCTCATAAACAGACCAGGGGTCAGTGTTTGTATTTAATAACACACAGATTTTATTGTAGCAACTTACATTAAAAAACGATGAGATCAGCTTCCATATGGTGAAACAATCAAGACAACATCACTCCTCAGCGGTAGCTTCAAACTAATGGCCATACAACTCTGAAGGAGAGCCAGGTGGTAGGTGATCCCTGTTGAAAAAGTCCAGATGTGACGAAACGCGTCCGCGGCACGTGATGTAGTGACGTATTGACGTTTCCGGAAGTGCCGTGGTGGCCATCTTGGGTTCTGGAACACGAGGCTGTGCATACCCTAGGGACTTCCATCTACCACCTGGATCTCCTTCAGAGTTGTATGGCCATTAGTTTGAAGCTACCACTGAGGAGTGATGTTGTCTTGATTGTTTTACCACAAGTTGCTACAATAAAATCTGTGTGTTATTAAATACACACACTGACCCCTGGTCTGTTTATGAGGTCTATGGGAGGTGTCTGGAGAAGATGATTTATATACTGTTTGGAGGCAATCCCATCCTTACTATGGATCCTATGCTGGTTTTATCTATCTTAGGGTAATTATGCACTTTTACTATATTGTGTACAGTGGGTTTATTCATTAAATTGTTGGAGTTTGAACATTTCACGATTGCTGTGGCACTTCAGTTTTTGCATGTGACACGTGTGGCACTATTATAAAGACCTAGGATAATACACTATGTTTAGATTTTATCTTTGAGGTATATGAAGATTTTCTGGAATTCATCATCAAAGTTGCCCTAGGATCTGAATTATTGTGAAATCACCTGCAAGTGTTTTTTGGACTTTATTTTGGACTTTATTTGGACTTTGGGTTGTATTGATATTATTGATGTGTTTATTCATTTAAATCAAGTTTGCTGTATTATTTTATATCTATCTAATAGAAGACATCAGCACTATTGTGTTTTCTTGACACGGAGACGCTGACTAAGAGTTGGACTATGTGTTTTGGACTTTTGGGGGAAAAAGTATAATTTGGCGTCTGGGGTTTATTATTTATTGTGTTAGCACTTAGTAGCACACCAATACATTTATTTATTTATTTGTGAAGTTTACATGGTGATACCACAATTGGAGATTTTACAAGCAATACATGCCGATCATGAGAGTGGAAGGCATGTGGGTCTGGTGAGTACATACCCAAAAGGGAAGGTGGTTTCATGAGCATGTGGTGATTTTGGTTTGGGAATAAGATTCCAACACTGAAAGAGACATCTACATGTTATGATGGACTTTATTTTTTCACATTAGTTGATTGATTTATATCACACATTTTGGTCCACATGATGATTTGATCTTCTGTGAAATTGTCATACGACTCCGAGAAAAAAATTTTTCAGTTTCTCCTTAATGAGGCTGACAGTAATCCTGGAGGAACTAATATTCGCTACCTGTGCTATGATGTCAGCAACTCGCCCAGAACCCTCCACGATGACACAAGGGGTGTTGTTACATATTGAATTGTAGATGGTCTGTAAGAGGGACGGTTAGAACACTGGAGAGAAGGTTACATACACTCTACAGTGGAAATAGGTTTTGGCACACTCATGGTAAATGGCTGTCTCAAATAGAAAGAGGAGAGGATGCTGGGGGCCAAGTCATCAGAGCAAGGGAGCAGGAGGAGTGATGCTGGAGGCTATGTGATCAGTGAGCGGGAGCAGGGAGGAGAGGATGCTGGAGGCTATGTGATCAGTGAGCGGGAGCAGGAGGAGAGGATGCTGGAGGATATGTGATCAGTGAGCGGGAGCAGGAGGAGGATGCTGGAGGCTATGTGATCAGTGAGGGAGCAGGAGGAGAGGATGCTGGAGGCTATGTGATCAGTGAGCGGGAGGAGAGAGGATGCTGGAGGCTATGTGATCAGTGAGCGGGAGCAGGAGGAGAGGATGCTGGAGGCTATGTGATCAGTGAGCGGGAGCAGGAGGAGAGGAGAGATGCTGGAGGCTATGTGATCAGTGAGAGCAGTGAGGATGCTGGAGGCTATGTGATCAGTGAGCGGGAGCAGGAGAGAGAGGATGCTGGAGGCTATGTGATCAGTGAGCGGGAGCAGGAGGAGAGGATGCTGGAGGATATGTGATCAGTGAGCGGGAGCAGGGAGGATGCTGGAGGCTATGTGATCAGTGAGCGGGAGAGGAGGGAGGTGCTGGAGGAGGAGAGGATGCTATGTGATCAGTGAGCGGGAGCAGGAGGAGAGGATGCTGGAGGCTATGTGATCAGTGAGCGGGAGCAGGAGAGAGGATGCTGGAGGCTATGTGATCAGTGAGCGGGAGCAGGAGGAGGGATGCTGGAGGATATGTGATCAGTGAGCGGGAGCAGGAGGAGAGGATGCTGGAGGCTATGTGATCAGTGAGCGGGAGCAGGAGGAGAGGATGCTGGAGGCTATGTGTGATCAGTGAGGGGGAGCAGGAGGAGAGGATGCTGGAGGATATGTGATCAGTGAGCGGGAGCAGGAGAGGATGCTGGAGGATATGGGAGCGGGAGCAGGAGGAGAGGATGCTGGAGGCTATGTGATCAGTGAGCGGGAGGAGAGGAGGAGTGAGGAGCAGGAGGAGGCTGGATGTGATCAGTGAGCGGGAGCAGGAGGAGGAGAGGATGCTGGAGGCTATGATCAGTGAGCAGCAGAGAGAGGATGCTGGGAGTGATCAGTGAGGGGAGCAGGAGGAGAGGATGCTGGAGGCTATGTGATCAGTGAGCGGGAGCAGGAGAAGAGGATGCTGGAGGATATGTGATCAGTGAGCAGGAGAGGGAGGAGAGGATGCTGGAGGCTATGTGATCAGTGAGCGGGAGCAGGAGGGAGGATGCTGGAGGCTATGTGATCAGTGAGCGGGAGCAGGAGGAGAGGATGCTGGAGGCTATGTGATCAGTGAGCGGGAGCAGGAGGAGAGAGGATGCTGGAGGCTATGTGATCAGTGAGCGGGAGCAGGAGGAGAGGATGCTGGAGGCTATGTGATCAGTGAGCAGGGAGGCTATGGATCAGTGAGCGGGAGGAGCAGGTGAAGAGGATGCTGGAGGCTATGTGATCAGTGAGCGGGAGCAGGAGGAGAGGATGCTGGAGGCTATGTGATCAGTGAGCGGGAGCAGGAGGAGAGGATGCTGGAGGAGATGTGATCAGTGAGCGGGAGCAGGAGGAGAGGATGCTGGAGGCTATGTGATCAGTGAGCGGGAGCAGGAGGAGAGGATGCTGGAGGCTATGTGATCAGTGAGCGGGAGCAGGAGGAGAGGATGCTGGAGGCTATGTGATCAGTGAGCGGGAGCAGGAGGAGAGGATGCTGGAGGCTATGTGATCAGTGAGCGGGAGGAGGAGGATGCTGGAGGCTATGTGATCAGTGAGCGGGAGCTGGAGGAGAGGATGCTGGAGGCTATGTGATCAGTGAGCGGGAGCAGGAGGAGAGAGATGCTGGAGGCTATGTGATCAGTGAGCGGGAGCAGGAGGAGGAGCTGGAGGCTATGTGATCAGTGAGCGGGAGCAGGAGGAGAGGATGCTGGAGGCTATGTGATCAGTGAGCGGGAGCAGGAGGAGAGAGGATGCTGGAGGCTATGTGATCAGTGAGCGGGAGCAGGAGGAGAGGATGCTGGAGGCTATGTGATCAGTGAGGAGGGATGCTGGAGGATCAGTGAGCGGAGCAGGATGCTGGAGGCTATGTGATCAGTGAGCGGGAGCAGGAGAGAGGATGCTGGAGGCTATGGATCAGTGAGCGGGAGCAGGAGGAGAGGATGCTGGAGGCTACCACAGTTGGTGGTGTCAGTGTGGTGTAGGTATCCTAACAAATGCAATACACAATGATATGGGAAATGGCAGTGACATAAACACATACAACACAGACATAAGTTGAACTGGATAGGCTGGTGTCTTTATTCAACTTTACCAACTATGTAACGATATCATTTTTAGAACTATGTAGTATAAAACACTTATGTGTTCAGAGAAAAAACAATATCAATAGTATGGCCTGTATTACAGATGCTTCCAATGCATGCATGCAAACCTCAAGACAATTCCCGACACCAATCTGATACTAGAAACGTATTCTCCAGCTAGGAACCATAAGACTAGTTTTCTATTCTTATCCCCCCAATAAGCAGTTGTTGTCTATCTACAAGAGGTATGTACAGTATATTCCTACTTGAACCTTGATGCTCTTTTTACAGGGAAATAAATAAAGGCACACGGTGCTCACAAAGTGCATTTATATCTACTATATGGCAATTATAGACCTGACTGGGCATTCGTGAACTCACATCCAATGTTCCGGGACCTCCTTCCAGCACCACACACACTGTTTTAATGGCTGTTTCTGAGATAAAGAAAGAAATAAGATACAAATACATCTCAGTTGATTGTGGGATGGGTACATCCTACTGCTGCTTTCACAATTAGATAGTCTGTGAGCACATTGTATATAAATGTGTTCTGAGCTTTCAACATTTCAATATCTGGTGGATGCTAGAGAGTTAAAATATATCTAATGCCAAAACGTTTCTTTCTTTCTTTCTTTTTTTTTTAGTGGATAGGGAATGTTTGAAATTAAACTTATTTTTTTTTTTCTGTGTCTCATTTTCCTTCAATTCCTGTACCAGAGACACAACAGGTATAGATGACCACTGTCTTGTGTTTGCCAGGGAGGGGGATTGCCCATTTAGCTGGCAATAATACCAGTGTCTCCATTCAAAATTTCCTCTCAATCCCTGTTCTGCCTGTCCAACCCCTATTTACGGCTGTAAAATTCTTAATTTCCTATCACTTTCTGTTCTGAGACAATGATCAGTATAACAACAAAGGTGGTGAATCTCCCCAGCAAGGACACAGAGTGCAAAAAAAGGACCTAACCAGCCCCTACTAAAAAAAAAACAGTTGGGCTTTGGATACACTTTAAGCCAACTAATGGCTTCTTATATCCATCAGGGGCAATATAGCTGAGATTTATGTGGCTGAGAGAGGAATCTGCAGACTTGCCAAGGTGTGCTATCATGAATGGCAGCCCTCTCCTTTCTGCCTGGAGATTTCAACAGGATAAAAAACACAATCAGGAAGGTAGGAACAGAACAAGGAACTTTGAGGAAGGCCTCACTCTGTGACCGTTCAGTAGAAAAGAAGCCATGGGGTCATTAGATTCTACCTATCAATAAAATTTAGTTTAGTTTTGCTAGTAGACTAACACTTTAATACTGGGAGTAAGGTCTCTTCTGGAAGGCCCTCATGATATGTCCCTCTACAATACAATGGTAAGACTGGATAATTCTGACTAGCTGACCTTCAAGCAGGGGCGGACTGACAACTCATGGGGCCCCCGGGCATTAGGGGATCATGGGGCCCCTGTGTCCTTGCCCAAACTCATAAAAGCCTATGAAAAAGGTACCAGGGGCATCTCATGGGGCCCCCTACTGACCCCGGGCCCTCGGGCAGTGCCCGAGTTTCCAAATGGTCAGTCCGCCCCTGTCTTCAAGGCACCAATCCATCCAATCTCTTCCATTTCTCATTCTTGTGTCACTACATCTTCCTGTTTTGCCAGCTAAACTTGCATGCCATCTTCCCCTCACCATCGAGCAATTTCTTTTCAGAGATAAATTTCTCAAGACGAGTTCTCAGTGGGATTTCCACCCCATAGCGTCCATGTGTCCCATCATCCACCAGTATGAAGTGTGTGTGGTTGTTGTCCAAACAACACAGTGCCCCCTGCGATCCTACATCCATGGGGTACAAGGCAGGAGCTCCCCCCTACAGACAAATTAACATAAAAAGAAGTATATTAATGCGGTTACACATATTTTTTTCTGTTTAGAAGCTTTGTTCCTTACATGTGACACAAGGAGGGTTAATGAATTGCCTGCAATGCTGAGCAGCAGTGATACGTTTAGGGAAGGCTATAAACAATGTTCATCTATAGAGTTTCCTCTCCACATTGGGGGCTGCCATTTTGAGTATATTATGTATGCTGGCCAGATGGTGATTGGCGGATAGAGGGCACAGATGAAGGGGATATGGAGTGTTTTGCATTTTGGAATAACAAGGGCTTGCTTGGAGGAACTGAGACTTGTGAGGAATGTATTTCGAGGAAATACTGAGCATGTTTTACAGATTGGCTCTGTGACTACAGGAAAGAAAAGGAAGGTCTGATCCCAAGTTTGAAGTATATGTGGTGAGGACATTGTGGAAGACATACCATGCTGCAGTCTGAATGTTTTCTGTACATGCTGAAAAAGTTCTTAGCCTGAAAAAATAAAACTAATGCAGCCACCATATCTAAGGACTGGTAGGAATTATTGGCAGCTATGGCTGGATTTGGTGTTAGTGCAGGTCTGGGGGCTATAGCTATAAGGTTCTTAACTCAAAGTTCACTTACTCCTGGTGGACCCCAGTGCTCTGCTGGAACAAATGAACTATGAAATTTTCATTGGATTGAATAGAAAGCAGGGCCGTCTTAATAGCATCATGTGCCCGTGGGCAAAGTTATGCACTGGGGCCCCTACCAGCCAGCCCAAATTTGTGCACCTACTCTCAAGAATTACAGTAAAACTAGTTGATAGAATAAACATATATTTATTAGTACTTTCAATAAAATCAATTTTAAATAATAAGAAACGTGACACAAATCAAAGACTGATCAACATGACGGGCACATTACAGGGGTGATCAGGAGGGCACAATACTGGGATCAGGAGGGCAAAGTACAGGTACTGGGATGCTGCCTGGAACACAGTCATTCTGGGATAGCTTAGTAAAAATCGTGACTGTCCTGGCAAATCTGGAACAACTGGCAAGTATGATTCAATGCACGATTATTATGGGCCCCCATGCATCTGGGGGTGCCCATGCATTAAGATGGCCCTGATAGAAAGCAAAAATCCTGAGAGGAGCCAGAGCTGGCACAAGGATTTTCAAGAAGAGGTTGTGCATTGCAGAACAGGTCAGACAGCAAAATTCATAGCTGAGCAGCTTATTAGGGATTTCAGGGGAGGGCATAGCAGCCCACTAAGTATAAATATATTAAACGTCCACTGGCTTAGGGTAGTACAATGTGCAGAATCTGCTGGCTGCCAAATGATGGTTCAATGTGCAATGTGAAACAGGACTGTGCAGAGCATAGGATTTGTTGGGGTTCCGGACACAAATATCATGTGGCAAGGGTTACTGCACTCCAGCTTTAGAACAGTTAAAAGTGAACTCCTTTCAGGATTTTGTTTGTTAGCAGTAGCTGGTGCTGGGGTAACTGGAGAACTGGGGGCAGCACAGTGGCTAAGTGATTAGCACTTCTGTCTAGCAGTATTAGGGTTGTCAGTTTGGTGCCATGGTGCCAACCATGGTGCTACCTTCCTGGAGTTTGCATGCTCTCCCTGTGTCTGCGTGGGTTTCCTCCCACCACCAAAGACATAATGGTAGGTTGTCTCCAATCTAAATTGGTCCTATGTGTATGAATGTGAGTTAGAGACCTTAGATTTTAAGTTCCTTGTGGGCAGGGACTGATGTGAATGTCCTTACAGGATGTCTTCAACTTACAAGCCGACCTCAATGCACTGTTTAATTGGGCAACTATGTGGCAAATGAGGTTTAATGTTGATAAATGTAAGGTTCTGCACTTGGGGGCTAAGAATATGCATCATACATACTAGGGGGGTAAACCTGGGGGAATCAATGGTGGAGAAGGATCTGGGGGTTCTGGTAGATCACAAGCTTAATAATGGCATGCAATGCCAAGCTGCAGGTTCTAAAGCGAGCAAAATCCTCTCTTGTATTATAAGAGGTATAGACTCCAGAGAGAGATATCATTTCCCCCGGTATAAATCATTAGTAATACCTCATCTGGAATATGCAGTTCAGTTTTGGGCACCAATTCACAAAAAGAACATTGGGGAACTGGAGAAAGTACAGAGAAGGGCAACCAAACTGATAAGAGACATGGAGGAGATCAGCTATGAGGAAAGATTAGAGGAACTGAATTTATACTCTCCTGAGAAGAAGATATTAAAGGGGGATATGATCTCCATGTATAGTACATAAGGGGGGATATGATCTCCATGTATAATACATAAGGGGGGGATATGATCACCATGTATAATACATAAGGGGGATATGATCTCCATGTATAATAAATAAGGGGGGATATGATCTACATGTATAATACATAAGGGGGGATATGATCTCCATGTATAATACATAAGGGGGGATATGATCTACATGTATAATACATAAGGGGGGGATATGATCTCCATGTATAATACATATAAGGGGGGATATGATCTCCATGTATAATACATAAGGGGGGATATGATCTCCATGTATAATACATAAGGGGGGATATGATCTCCATGTATAATACATAAGGGGGATATGATCTCCATGTATAATACATAAGGGGGGATATGATCACCATGTATAATACATAAGGGGGGGGATATGATCTCCATGTATAATACATAAGGGGGATATGATCTCCATGTATATAATACATAAGGGGGGATATGATCACCATGTATAATACATAAGGGGGGGATATGATCTCCATGTATAATACATAAGGGGGGATATGATCTCCATGTATAATACATAAGGGGGGGATATGATCTCCATGTATAATACATAAGGGGGGGGATATGATCTCCATGTATAATACATAAGGGGGGATATGATCTCCATGTATAATACATAAGGGGGGATATGATCTCCATGTATAATACATAAGGGGGATATGATCTCCATGTATAATACATAAGGGGGGATATGATCTCCATGTATAATACATAAGGGGGGATATGATCTCCATGTATAATACATAAGGGGGGATATGATCTCCATGTATAATACATAAGGGGGGATATGATCTCCATGTATAATACATAAGGGGGGATATGATCTCCATGTATAATACATAAGGGGGGATATGATCTCCATGTATAATACATAAGGGGGGATATGATCTCCATGTATAATACATAAGGGGGATATGATCTCCATGTATAATACATAAGGGGGGATATGATCTCCATGTATAATACATAAGGGGGGATATGATCTCCATGTATAATACATAAGGGGGGATATGATCTCCATGTATAATACATAAGGGGGGATATGATCTCCATGTATAATACATAAGGGGGGATATGATCTCCATGTATAATACATAAGGGGGGGGGGATATGATCTCCATGTATAATACATAAGGGGGATATGATCTCCATGTATAATACATAAGGGGGGATATGATCTCCATGTATAATACATAAGGGGGGATATGATCTCCATGTATAATACATAAGGGGGGATATGATCTCCATGTATAATACATAAGGGGGGATATGATCTCCATGTATAATACATAAGGGGGGATATGATCTCCATGTATAATACATAAGGGGGGGATATGATCTCCATGTATAATACATAAGGGGGGGATATGATCTCCATGTATAATACATAAGGGGGGGATATGATCTCCATGTATAATACATAAGGGGGGATATGATCTCCATGTATAATACATAAGGGGGGGGATATGATCTCCATGTATAATACATAAGGGGGGATATGATCTCCATGTATAATACATAAGGGGGGATATGATCTCCATGTATAATACATAAGGGGGGGATATGATCTCCATGTATAATACATAAGGGGGGATATGATCTCCATGTATAATACATAAGGGGGGGGGGATGATCTCCATGTATAATACATAAGGGGGGATATGATCTCCATGTATAATACATATAAGGGGGGATATGATCTCCATGTATAATACATAAGGGGGGATATGATCTCCATGTATAATACATAAGGGGGGATATGATCTCCATGTATAAATACATAAGGGGGGATATGATCTCCATGTATATAATACATAAGGGGGATATATGATCTCCATGTATAATACATAAGGGGGATATGATCTCCATGTATAATACATAAGGGGGGATATGATCTCTCCATGTATAATACATAAGGGGGGGGATATGATCTCTCCATGTATAATACATACATAAGGGGGGATATGATCTCCATGTATAATACATAAGGGGGGATATGATCTCCATGTATAATACATAAGGGGGGGATATGATCTCCATGTATAATACATAAGGGGGGATATGATCACCCATGTATAATACATAAGGGGGGATATGATCTCCATGTATAATACATAAGGGGGATATGATCTCCATGTATAATAATACATAAGGGGGGATATGATCTCCATGTATAATACATAAGGGGGATATGATCTCCATGTATAATACATAAGGGGGGATATGGATCTCCATGTATAATACATAAGGGGGGATATGATCTCCATGTATAATACATAAGGGGGGATATGATCTCCATGTATAATACATAAGGGGGGGGATATGATCTCCATGTATAATACATAAGGGGGGATATGATCTCCATGTATAATACATAAGGGGGGATATGATCTCCATGTATAATACATAATAAGGGGGGATATGATCTCCATGTATAATACATAAGGGGGGATATGATCTCCATGTATAATACATAAGGGGGGGATATGATCTCCATGTATAATACATAAGGGGGGATATGATCTCCATGTATAATACATAAGGGGGGATATGATCTCCATCCATGTATAAACATAAGGGGGGGATATGATCTCCATGTATAATACATAAGGGGGGATATGATCTCCATGTATAATACATAAGGGGGGGATATGATCTCCATGTAATACATAAGGGGGATATGATCTCCAT